AGTAAGTTGTGTAGTACGTGTAAGGTGTAGTGGTGTGACGTGATAAGGAATGTGTGAATGTGAGTATAAGGTGGTGTGTAGTGAGTGGGTAGGGTGTGTGTGAGTGTAGGTGTGTTGATGTGAGTGTAGGATGTGTGTGTGATGGTAGTGTGTGTTGATGTGTGAGTGGTAGTTAGGTGTTGTGTGTGAGTGTAGGTGTGTAGTGTGTGGTGTGTGAGTGTAGGTGTGGTGTGAGTTAGTGTGTGTGTGAGTGTGTGTGTGTGACGTCTGATTGTGTGTGTGTGTGTGTGTGTGTGAGTGTGTGTGTAGTGTGTGTGTGTGTGTGTGTGTGTGTGTGTATGATGTGTGTGTGTGAGTGAGTGTATGTGTGAGAGACAGAGAGTGAGTGTGTGATAGACAGAGAGAGAGTGTGCGTGATAGACAGAGAGAGAGAGAGATGTGAATTGATAGAGAGAGAGAGTGTGTGTGTGTGAGAGAGCGAGTGTGTGTGTGTGAGAGCGAGTGTGTGTGGTGAGAGTGCGAGTGTGTAGTTGTGTTGTGAAGAGCGAGTGTGTGTGTGAGAGAGCGAGTTGTGTGTAGTGAAGAGCGAAAGTGTAGAGTGATGTGGAGAGAGCGTGTGTGTGTGTGCTGAGAGCGACGTGTGTGATGTGTGTTTTGAGAGCGTGTGTGTGTGTGTTGTGTGTGTGTTGTGTGTGTGTGTGGTGAGAGCAAGTTGGTGTGTGGTGTGAGAGAGCGTGTTGTGTGTGTGTGTGTGTGTGTGTGAGAGATTTAATATGTGTGAGAGAGTGAGAGGAGTGAGTGAGGTGAGTGAGTGAGTGAGTGAGTGAGTGAGTGAGTGAGTGTGTGTGTGGGTGTGTGTGTGTGTGTGTTGTGTGTGTGTGTTGTGTGAGTGGTGAGTGAGTGAGTGATGAGTGAGTGAGTGAGTAAGGTGAGTGGAGTGTGTATGTGTGAGTGAGTGAGTGAAGTGTGAGTGTGACGATTGTGTGTTGTATGATGGATGTGATTGCGTGTGTGATTGTGTGTGTGATTAAGGAGCGTGTGACTAGTGGTGTGTGGGTGTGGGTGTTGTGTCGTGTGTCGTCGTGCTCGTCCGTGCTGTCGTGTCCGCTCGCTGTGTGTGCGTCGCTGTCGTGCAGTCGTGTGTGACGTGTGCTTGACTGTGTGTCGGTCCTCGTGTGCGTATGTCGTCAGCTGTCGTGTGCTGCTGACCGTGGTCGTGTCCGCTGTCGCATGACCGTGAGTGAGAGTGAGAGTCGAGAGTGTCTGTGTTCGCTCGTGTGCGGTGTGCTGTGTCGTGTGTGTGTGTTGTGTGTGCGTGTGTGTGCTCGTGTGTCGTGCTGTGTGTGTGCTGAGTGTGGTATGCTCGTGATTCGAGTGTGTGACTCCGTGATTGTGTGATTCTGTGTCGTGGTGTGCTGCTGTGGTGTGGTGGTGGATGTGGATGTGTGTGTTGAGGTGGGTGGAGGGTGGTGAGTGTGGTGGAGGTGAGTGTGGTGTTGTGGTGGTGGTGTGTGTGGGTGTGTGGTGTGTGGAGTTGGTGGTGTGGGTGTGTGGAGTTGTGTGTGGGGTGTGGTGGAGGGGTGTTGGGTGGTGTGTGATGTGTTGTGTGGTGGTGAGTGGGTGTGTGTGTGTGTGGTGAGTGTGGTGTGGGTGAGTGGTGTGTGTGAGATTGTGTTGTGGGTGAGCCGGGTGGAGCGGTGGGGAGTTTGAATGTGGGAGTGAGTGTGAGTTTGGAATGGTGGTGTGAGTGGTGAGTTTGAATGTGTGGTGTGTGGAGTGTGTGTTGAATGTGTGTGGTGAGTGTGTGTTTTGAATGTGTGAGTGTGAGTCTTGCAACTGTGCCGTGTCGAGTGTGAGTTTAAATGTGTGAGTGTGAACGTTGCAACCTCGGCTGCTCGTTGTGAGGTGTGTCGTTCTGAATGCTGTGGTGTGAGTTTCGAACTGTCTGTGAGTCGTGACGTTCGAATGCTGTGTGTCGTGAGTGTGTGTGTGACTGTAGGTAGGAGTGTGTGTAGTGTGTGAGTGTGTGTGTGTGTGAAGTGTGTGAGTGTGTGTGTGTGAAGTGTGTGTGTGAGTGTGGTGAGCATTAGTGTTAGTGTGAGTGAGTGAATGAGTGAGTGTGAGTTTGAATGTGTGTGTGAGTGTGTGTTTGAATGTGTGAGTGAGTGTGTGTTTGAATGTGTGTGTGAGTTTGAATGTGTGTGATGTGAAGTGAATGTGTGAGTGTGAGTTTGAATGTGTGTGTGAGTGTGTGTGATGTGTGTGAGTTGTGTGTGTGTGTGTTGAGTGTGTGTGTGTGTGAGTGTGTGTGTGTGTGTGTGAGAGTGTGTGTGAGTGTGTGTGTGAGTGTGTGTGTGAGGTGAGTGTGTGTGTTAGTGTGAGTGGTGAGTGAGTGTGAGTGTGTGAGTTGAATGTGTGTGAGTGTGAGTTTGAATGTGTGAGTGTTGATGTGTGTTGAGTGTGAGTTTGAATGTGTGTGATGTGTTTGAATGTGTGAGTGTGAGTTTGAATGTGTGTGTGTTTGAATGTGTGTGAGTGTGTGAATGTGTGTGAGTGTGTGTGTGTGTGTGGTGTGAGTGTGTGTGTGTGTGTGTGTGTGTGTGTGTGTGAGTGTGTGTGTGAGAGTGTGTGTGAGTGTGTGTGTGAGTGTGTGTGTGAGCATTAGTGTTAGTGTGAGCGTTAGTGTTAGTGTGAACGTGAGTGTGAGTTTGAATGTGTGAGTGAGTGTGAGTTTGAATGTGTGTGAGTGTGTGTTTGAGTGTGATGTGAGTTTGAATGTGTGTGAGTGTGAGTTGAATGTGTGTGAGTGTGTGTTGTGTGTGTGTGTGTGAGTGTGTGTGTGTGTGAGTGTGTGGTGTGAGTGTGTGAGTGGTAAGTGTGTTGTGTGCGTGTTAGTGTTGAAAGTGTGAGTGTGAGCGTGTGAGTGTGTTGAGTGGTGAGTGTGTGTGTGATGTGTGTGTGAGTGTGAGTTTGAATGTGTGTGTGAGTGTGTGTTTGAATGTGTGAGTGTGAGTTTGAATGTGTGTGAGTGTGAGTTTGAATGTGTGTGAGTGTGAGTTTGAATGTGTGTGAGTGTGAGTTTGAATGTGTGTGTGAGTGTGAGTTTGAATGTGTGTGTGAGTGTTTGAGTGTGTGAGTGTGAGTTTGAATGTGTGTGAGTGTGTGTTTGAATGTGTGAGTGTGAGTTTGAATGTGTGTGAGTGTGAGTTTGAATGTGTGTGTGAGTGTGAGTTTGAATGTGTGTTTGAGTGTGAGTTTGAATGTATATGTGAGTGTGTGTTTGAATGTGTGAGTGTGAGTTTGAATGTGTGAGTGTATGAGTAATTGAGAGTGAGAGTGTGTGAGAGTATGTAAGAACTAGAGAATAAAGCTAGAACACTTACTTATGAGAATCCTTTCTTCGGTCTTCATAAATGTGCTGGTTTGCTCCTTGAAGTAAGGATGACAAACCGCTGCGAAGACCTGTACCGCTGACGTTGTCTGAAGAAATATCGTCCAACTGTCTTTTGTTAGTTCTTGGTGCCTGCACTTCAATGGTCCCTGTGCGCTGACGTGTTTGGCGGGGCACAACTTTGAGAATTCCCTTTGGTTTTCTTGTACCTCTTCCATGACCTCGATGATTTCCCTTACCTCTTGCTTCACTGCTGCTGCTCATCAGTGCAATGTTATCTTCACCTTTATCCTCACATAGTTCTCTCTCAGTCTCATCACTTCTATGGGTCTCTTGGCTTCTGTCAGTGACTCTACATCTACCTCTTCTCCTCCCTCTGCCTCTACCCCGGTGTTTCCCCCTGCTCCGTTTACCCCTAACATGGTGCTGTTCATTACTATTATCAAAATTAGTTGAAAGGCCATCTGTGGTAAGCTCAGAAGTACAATTCTCACTCACATCTTCTACAGCATCAGTAGTTAACACAGTTATGTTTTGACTAGATATATCACTACTTACATTTTCACTCTCAAAAGTATGTATAGAAGGCTGATCTGCATTTGCTTCTACTTTAATCTCTACTATACTACTGAGGCTGTCCGGAACTGGCTGAACAGCATGACATTCTTTTTCACTAAAGCCAGAATCTGATGCACTGGTACCACAATCCTTTGCAGAAGTGGCTTTAAAGCAGTTCAAATTCTCATGTAATTCAGTTGTTATATCTCTGGAAGGTTTGTCACTTTCTGTGTCTTGACTTCTCACTACCGAACTACTAGTGTCCGTTCCTCTCTGAGGTTCAACCTCATCAACATTACCACACTTTTCTACAGTGACCATTACTGGATGCACATTAAAATTCAACACATCAGGAGGGGCTGGACCTTTATTTTCTTTACAAAGATCCTCAAAATTGTAACTCATTGAACTAGGAATTGATCTAACTGCTTTATCTTTAGGGTTTTCTAGATGTTCTCTCAACAAATACTCAAAGCTTTCTTTCTCCACAGCAGGCAAAACTACACTCTTTATTTTGTTTGCTTCATCATCAAAGCCACTATCATCACTTGCTGCAGAAGCTGCTGGTGACATGAACTGCTGATCACACAAAGCCCTATCCTCTTTAACATGACTGGATCTATCATTTGAACTGGTATCACTGACACAAATCTTAGAGCTCTGTCCATCAAAATCACTGTTACCACTTTGGTTTTCAAAGAAAATTTCAGATAAAGTTTGTGAATTAAAAGACTCTTGTTCATTGATTAATGTCTGCTCTGGTTCTTTGCTAAGGCTACTATCTTTGCAACTTGGTTTACCATCGCTAATACTGGTGTTGCAGTCAAATGTTTCCATCCATGATTCTAGATCGGCAGTCACAACATCCAGGTCCCAGCTATTTCCCTGAGGTGGTACAGATGTGGCTTCATTCCTTGTCTTTGGCAATGCAGATTCCAAGTCAAGGTCACGCAAGAGGTTGAAAAACGTTTCAGAGCTGCCTGCGTTCCAATATTCCTCCTCAGTCTCTGGGGTATGGCTGGCATCAGTGGAGATTGATTTGCTACATTTGTTTTCCCTAGGCAGAAGATTGTGTGATCTATCTGTCCTAGAGTTACAGGGCTCCCCAAGACTTTCCACTGGGCTTCGGAAGTCTGATAAGGCGCCACTACTACTGCAACTCCAGGTCCTGTAATGTTGATTACCTAGAGAAACAGAGAGAGAGAGAAATATCATGTTACTAGTACATATCTAATAGGTACCATTTCTCATCTTTCTTACAGCAAGTCAAACCCATCATGGGGAAAGTCATAGTTTATAATCCAATTAATATACTTGCAATTAAGTACTAACCTGAAAAGACTGACTGCCTCTTCTTATAAGGGGTAATAGTCTGCCTGATTACACAGTCCCATGGCGGAACCTCTAAATATGAATCACAGTCTGCATTGTCGCATCTCACAACCGCCTGGTCCACGGAAAACTGGAAAGGACGCACTCGCCCTTCTCCACAGGTCTTGCATAAATGGCCAACACTCTGTTGGGAGAGGGAGGGGGGAATTAACAATCTAAACAGCTGATCTGAATAAGTAGTAGTACTAGAAGAAGAAAAATGAGACAAGATTAAATGTCAGCCCAATGCTAAATCAATCTGCATTCATTTAAAGATATATTCCTCTTTTAGAAAGGATGTAAACTGCTACATGATATTAACAAGGTCCATCAACTTCATAACTTAGTATGAACCTGATGACAACTTACTACTATAGTTAGGATGCCATCTTTTTTTTTTTTTTTTTTTTTTTTTGTACATCACACCCATCATTCACAAGATAAACACTGTATACATAGAATCAATAGACCAGTTAATTCTAAAACACTCTTTATTTATGATATATTGCAAATTGTAAGCAGGGATATCCATCTTTACAAATAACAAACTCAAGTGATTATCATGACATCAACACTTGAGGCCTAGCGCAAAGATCAATAATCCACTTCCATAGCTAGTTCTGCAAGAAAAACTGATTCTGTATTGGAGATCAACCCACTCATAATGGGAGCTCCTGGGGCCATACTAAATAAAGTGCTGGGGTGCATGCAGAGTCAGCTGCTTGACTGAAAAAATTGAGACATTAAAATGCCCTGCTTTCTCTGCAGTACAAAAGAACTATTTAGTTCATGTAGCTAGAAAGAGTCTGTATGCCTACTTTCATGAGGTTCTTTCTCTTCAATGACTGCAGCAAAGGCCAAGCAAGCAAATAATTGCGCACTGTACAAAACTTAGAGCACGTTCAATTTTACATGAATAGCATGAGAGACCATCAGGAATAGACATTTCAATAATGGTATCTGGCATCTGCATTTCTGAAGATGGATTCATATCTCTAGAGATGAGGCAGATTTTCTTACTATTTATCTGAAAAATAATTTGAACTATTTATATATGAAATGACCTCTTTATTTCTAATTTGTGATGGAAACTGACTTCATTTTGCTAGATTTGGATCAATTGGTTGTATAGTAAAGAAAATGTCCAATTCAAATGTTCTGTAAAACTAGAACATTCTATCTCTCTTTCATCATCCCAATATGGTTGACACCCTATTATACTAGTAACACTTATACTTGTCCTCACAACCATAGCAGAAGGAAAAACTAGCAATGTTAACACAAAATCGAACATGAAGTTTTTCTAGGGTTCACTTCCTTAAAAGACCCTCACAGGGAATCCAACAGTACCAGAGAGAGAAAACTGATAACTGTCACGGTAGTAGTCAGGTAGTTCAGCACAGGCTAAATAATCCTCACAATATATTTGTTGAGGCAGAGGTTTATGGACCTTTATCAACTGGTGTGGAGGCTGTGGTAATCATACAACTCTCATTACCAGTAATATCATTATGACAGATAGTTTCTGTAACTTGAAACTAATACAATGCACATAAGACATCACATGCAACTGATCAGTACCCAGATCTATTATTGTTAGTAATTTTTTTTATTTCCCACAGCCATCCAACCTTGCAATTATTTTCTTCAAATTATTTAAGGCATAACATGCGTGAGTCTGTTGCTTTCCACTTCAGGAAATAAGTGAGAGTATTGCTACTTGCTCACTAACTGACCCTACCCGTGAGTCCCCATTACTCTTTCTGAATGAACCAACATCCTTCCTAACCCAGGGGAACCCCATCCAACCAACATGGTTGCCAGCTGGGGAACCGGGCCGCAGACTCCCACCTGACTGGTGTGGAAGTTGTCTTCGTGTGAGATTTGTTGCAGCCTATTTTCTTCAATTCTGATATTATTCTTTACCTGCACAGATTATTTCCTGTATCTGTGTGAGTTGCTTTTTCCCCTCTCTTTATGACTCAATTTTTTTTCCTCATCTTAGTCATTATGTAAATATATTGCAAAGTATTACATTTTGCAAAACCTTCTTATTATCAACGGTTACTTTGCTGTTTATGACAATCTTTATATCATGAGATTTAATCTTGTGTGACAAGAACAAGTCTGGTGATAATCTTGATGAGTCAAGTCCCAATAGCAGGGGAGGGCATGAAGTAGATTAGGGAAATTATGGGGTAAAACAAGCTGATATAAGAATAGAGAACTTCAGCCAATGAAACTCTACAGATGTGCCGCCTATGTTTGAAAGTCAATAGACCTACTATAGAATGCACTATAAAAAAAGAAAAAAAATGAAAGAAAGAAAAAAAGAAAAAAAAGAAAAAAAAAAGAAAAAAAGAAAGAAAAAGAAAAAAAGAAAATAAGAAAAAGAAAAAAAACATTTTTCAGTCAAATCCACAGGAATTCACACCACCCAATACATCCTGGCCAATAAAGTAGCATAATTCCATGCCACAAACTTTATCAAACGATCTATGATGCTGTGACTAGATGTGCTTCGGGCATTGCTCAGAGGGAGGGTTGATAGGGGCTCTGCCTCCCAACATCCCCCCAGGAAACATTCTCTTCACCTTGGTATGTACGGCAAGATAGAGCTGCATACATACCTTAATGAATAAACCAAACACCTTTATATCTCGGGACACCAAACTTTCCTTCACTTCTGTCAATTTTATAGATTGCTTGGTTTCTTGGCATCTCAAATTTTGTTGTTCTGTCAATCACAGGTAAAGTTTACTTTGTACCATATGGTTATGTGACACAAACTATATTTGGTATAAGTTAAAGCCATCTTATAGAGTGGAAGAAATAGAGTGGGACTGAACATGCTTTATGCTGCATTTATGCTTTTAAAGTTTTTATTAATGTTATTATACTTCATTTGCATATTTTAAGATTTATCTATAACCTGGTTTAGAATCATGCGCATCTAGTGTTTCACACTTTCTTTCGCCAGACACAGGTTGACATCTCAGCAGCCTGCTCATTTCGAGGTAAAATGCCAGTGAGAAATGTGGCGTTTCCAGTGTTGTGTTGATTTTGGGTTATTTTTGTGAATTATACAGTTGCAACAAAGAATAATTAAACTTTAGTAACCATCCCAGTTTAATATCTGGGCCCATCAAGAGCTCCAAATGACAAAAAAATTTATCAAAATCGAAACAATCCAGGCAATACAAACAAGCAATGAAAGTTTAACATTTGTGGATATAAAGGTATTTGGTATATTATTTTACGGTGTGAATGCAGCTCTATCTTGCTGTATATACCAAGGTGAAGAGAATGTACCCTGGGGGGTGTTGGGGGGGCAGAGCCCCCTATCAATCCTCCCCTTGGGCAATGCCCGAGAGGCACGCCTAGTCACAGCAACTAAAATTGATATATTAAGCTGGTTTATTGGTCAATACGTTTATGGGGGGTCTGGACCGTGTGAATTCCCGTAGATTTTGCAAAAAGGTAGGTTGGGTTCCCATAGAGTTTTTGAAATCTGGCACATCACCCCATACTATTTCAAAGATGGCAATTACATCTGTAGAGTTTAATTGACTGATACCAAGCGGCTTTCGTGCTAGTTTTCCTCATTTTTGTTTGCTTTTCTTCTTAATCAAGACTGTTTTACCCCATAATTTCCCTCATACTTCATGCCCTCCCCTGCTAATGGGACTAACAAATCTAGATCGTCAATGGACAAATGGTACTCAATCTCCTGAACAATTCATTCACACAAACAATGTCAAGAACTGATGAAATCATTGGATTTACTGCAGAAAAACATCATTTTTTTCGACTTAGTCTCTGGGAGGGTGCGTCGCTCCCTGTAACAAATACCCTATATTCTATTGTTAGTGACACACATTTACTGAATAAACAGACTAAAGCAAAACTTCAAGGTTATCTTTTCCTGAACAACTTTGCATTTTCCTTCCTTTCATATGTCTGGACATGCCCCTGCTACATTACTGCCTGCATGCTAGGAATTTCTGTTGACTTGCACAAGCTCAGCAAAATCCCCAAATGTGTCTCTTACTCTTGTATTTCCCAAATCATTAATTAAATTTACCTGACCTGAACCCTATGAAATACCGGGTCCCATACAAACACACTTAAGGAATTTAAACCGTTCCTCCATCCCCTAATTCCGACTAACTCCCTCTCTCACACACAACAGGAGGTCGATAGGCCCACATACCACACCATTAGAGCAAAACATGCTTAATTCCTTTCCATTCGGCTTCCAACACACATGCTCTCTTTACCTTCATCACGCGAGGCCGAAAAAAACACGTTCATTTATCCCCCTGAAACGCCTCAAACACTTGTCGTTCCTGCGATGTAACTGGACAGAACGCGAGAGTCTCACCATTCTGATGACAGTGCAAGGCGGCGACCACCAGAGGCATCCATGGCCGCGTTTTCTAGTCCTTTTTACTCAGGAAAACGTTTCAAATGCGTTTTGTTGCGACGCCATCTTGGGACCGCCGCGTCTCGATCCTTGTAAATGCATCGTGTTTTTTTAAGGTTTTATTCCGATCTTTATTTGATTTTTGTATTTCAAGATTTATTTTGATTGCTAGTTGTGTAGCTAATACAGTAGAGAGTTTAATTATATGTATATATACACTGTTATTACTTTAGTTGTTGTGTTTTGTTTGTTGGGTAATTGTATAAATGATAAGGAAAGACACGTAGAAAGATTCTTATCATATTTTCTAAATATTTTTTCGGAAATAAATAGTTTTTTTAATATTCAATGAACTTTAACATATGAATATTAGCTATTGAAACTAGCTGAGATGAAGGGAATCGGACGCAGTTCAGCGAGTGAAGTGTGTTTACATTTCCGTTCCTTCGTCATTCACCATTTTTCTGCTTAATTTTTCTCCATAAATAGGAGTCTGGAGGAGGAATCAGACGATTCACCTCTTCCTGTTAAAGTCAGAAGCTATCAATCAAAATAAGGAGGACGAAGAGATAAATACACAAGAGAATATTCACTCGTTCACGCCAGGCACCAGAATAGGAGTAGACATTAGAAAAGAAGACTTCTTATTTGTGTTCAGAGCGCCCATTTGCTAACTCAAAATGTCTGAACGTAAGGTATTGAACAAGTATTACCCACCAGATTTCGACCCGTCTAAGATCCCGAGAGCAAGATGCCCGAGAAACCGTCAGTTCACAGTCAGGTTGATGGTTCCTTGCAATATCAAGTGTTACACCTGTGGAGAGTACATTGCCAAGGGAAAGAAATTTAATGCACGTAAGGAGGATGTGGAGAATATGACATACTTGGGGGTGAGGATTTATCGCTTCTATATCAAGTGTCCGGGATGCCTGGCAGAGATCTCCTTCCGCACAGATCCAGAGAGTGTCGATTACGTCATCGAGGCTGGGGCACACAGGAACTTCCAGGCTCTGAAATTGGCAGAAGAGCAAGCAGCACGAGAGGAGAGGGAGGCCAAGGAGGAGATTGAGTCCAACCCAATGTTGCTTCTGGAGAATAGAACACAACAGTCACAGTATGAAATGGAGGTCCTGGAATCCCTGGAGGATCTGCGGGAGATGAATGAACGGCATGCCAGCATTGACCTAAGCAAGATGACAGACAAGTTTGAATCTGAGAGGAAGTTAACGCAGGAACAGATCGAGGAGGCAGAGCGCTTGGAGGCATTGAAAGTGCTTGGCTATGAGATGGTAGATGGAGAGATGATCAAGAGAGTTGCACAAGAGGACCTAGATGAGGAAAAGCCGCTGACAAAGAAGATCAAGGTTGAGGGTTCACTTCCCTCAGATATTCTTACAAGTGACTCTGGGAAAGCCCCAAAGCAGCATAACATGAAATCTAAACTTGCTGGTTTGATAAAGAGTAAGCCAGCAAAACCAAGTACTGATAAGTCTGAAAATGGTAAGGAATCAAAAACACAAGACACATCAAATGATAAACCAGAAAATGGTAAAGAGTCCGATGGGCAAGACATCTTGAAGGAAAATAGGTCAACAGCAGACTCCAAGGATGCTCCCAAGAAGTCTAATGAGTCGTCCAGCTCAATCACTCCTGTTTCCTCTTCGTCAAAAATGAGTAATGCCTTGGCCTTTTTGGGTGCATACTCAGACTCGGAATCAGGAGAGGAGAGTAATTAGGGCCCATGTAGCTGTTGTTTTTGATATTTGGTCTTAAATGTAGATATAAAGTGAATTATTTATATCTCTTATTGTGTCATAGTCATATGCAATGTATAATTGATATTTCCGATATTGAGAATTTAATTTGTTTCCAATATACCCCAAAAATAGTTCATGGATTGGCACTTATGGGAAATTGGTCTATCAGCATTATCTGTGATATAGATTAAGTTCAAGGTTTCCATTTCTACCTCAGTATGCTATTGATGCAATATGAAATTCTAGCTTCTGGCTGTTGGTAGGACAAGTTAATGAGATTTAAGGGTAAAAATGTGTATTTTTGAGTTGATTATCGATTTACTATGGTAAATACAAAAATATATATATATAATTTTGGCAGACCAGCTTCCCATTAACACCAAATTTTTGTTTTATTCCTCTAAATATATTCAATGTATATTTTTATAGAAGGATTCTGAGTTAATGTATTTGTATGAGTATGAGCACAGTATTTAAATGGTCAACAAGAAGTTGTATATCCACTGAAAACTCATGTACAAAACATTTTATAAATGAAAATGTTCAAAGCAAGGAGGCTCTTGATTTTTCTTTTCTCTTCTTTTTCTTAGAGGTGGATGGGATAAAGTGATAATATATTTGGACAGAAAATTTATTTATTGAAAATTTTCTACTGCATCAACATTTAAGTTCATAAGCAGCATGTACAAAATATAGCAATAGGGTGAGGCTTTGGGGCAAAGCCCCGAAGTAGGAAAATGTCATACAGAATTTTGATAAAGTATTGTGACAAAAAGGTTACAAATGAGTTCACAATTAGGACAAAGTATGGTATATGTCAAAGGTTGTAGAGCACTGTAGGTTATGGTAGGGAAAAAATTAAAGAATGAATAGCAAATGGAGTATGAAGGCTGTTCAGGACTGACAAAGCCAGCCTTTCATCCTTTCAACATGGCTCTCACACATGAGGACAGAAGGGGACAAAGAGAAGTAAAAGGAAAGGGGAAGAAAAGACCATGGTGAGGTGAGGGCTGAGTTTCAAGGCAGGGGTGATCCCCAATATTAGGCCTCAGTCTCCGTCTCCTAAGCCCCTTCACAACAACAACAGGCATGGAATTTGGTGGTGTGAATGGAAAAGAGAAAAAGTACATGCAACCTCATGGCTGTGGGCATTCTTGATATTGTATCACCAGAACCAATCACATACATGAACACAAACTTATTTACACTCATAACCACACATCTCACTCTCTCTTTTTCTTTTGATCTTTTTATATTTATTTTTTGATAATTTTGTGCCACGTCAACATCCAAGGTTATTAACGGCATATTCAAAATATAGCGGTATGTGAGGCTTAGGGGCAAAGCCTCTAGGTAAGGAAAGATCATACAGCACTATGATAAAATACTGTGGCAAAAAAGAGTAAAAATGAGTTAATGATTTGAACAAACTATCTTAGATGTCAAAGGTTGAAGAGCACTGTAGGTTAGTATGGTAGTGAAAGGGGTAAAGAGGGAAGAGTAAGCAGAGTATGAGGTTTGTTCAGGACTGACACAGCCTTTCATCCTTTTAGCACGGCCATCACACCTTAGGAAGTGGATAGGAGAAGGGGATGAAGAAGAGAACGAAAAGGAAATAGGAAGAAAAGACCATGTAACCTTAGTTGAAACAAGGGCTTAGGTCCTAGGTAGGGGTGATTTCCTACATTGGGCCTCAGTCTCCACCACCTAAGACCCCCATGACAACAATGAGCAAGGGATTAAGGGGGTTTCTTATACTTATCAGCTTTTATTAATTCCTTGCTTTCTTGACTGCATTCTTCATCTAGTTGTAGTTATCATTCTCTACTCTTTCTCATATATATATATATTTTTTCCCCACTGTTATGCCCTGTAATTTCTATATTTGGATTAGAAGTCATCATAAAGGTTATGTTTCACAAGATGAAGAAAGTA